CAACATTGAACATTGACAATTTCACTGTTGCATTCTGGTTGCAGTTGCTACTTGTTGATAAGAAAATAACAAATGCTAGAGATCTTGTCAACATTCTAGAAGATGCTATCAGAAGTGGATATCCAATTTTGATAATGGCAGAAGACATTGAACAGGAAGCCTTAGCAACTCTGGTTGTGAACAAGCTTAGAGGGGCTCTGAAGATTGCTGCTCTCAAAGCTCCTGGCTTTGGAGAGCGCAAGAGTGAGTACCTTGAAGACATTGCTATTCTTACGGGAGGTATGTATAAGTATAATTTTTGGTATAATTTTTGTTTGCTACTCTTTTTAAATTATATTTTGTTTTATCATCTTTGTTTTTCCTATTCTATGTACATTGTTCCCAATTCTTTCTCTCTTACAAGGGTGCAGTCATGCACACATGCTTGCACGCATACACTAACATTGAGAGATCTCTACCATTTGCATACAGGTACTGTAATCAGAGATGAGATTGGGCTTTCCTTGGACAAAGCTGGCAAAGAGGTCTTGGGCCATGCTTCTAAGGTGGTGCTTACCAAGGATTCAACCACCATTATTGGTGATGGAAGCACGCAGGAAGTAGTTAACAAACGAGTTGTGCAGATTAGAAATCTCATTGAGGTTGTCTTTAAGTTCATGCTAATATAAACACACACACATACACACAAACATGCACGCACTTATTGTTTTTATACAAGTCTTTGTTGTGGACTTCTTGTTCTTGCAATGCCTAAAACATTATTACTTTAATGCAGGCTGCAGAACAAGAGTATGAGAAGGCAAAACTTAAGGAAAGGATTGCCAAATTATCTGGTGGCGTCGCAGTGATACAGGTATTTTCTAATTAGCTCAAGAAACTTTTTATGCTTTTTAAAATGAAATTTGATATGGGAAATTATGTATGATTTATATTTAATTGATGTAATGTTCTTTTGAAATTTTAAAGGTTGGAGCTCAAACTGAAACAGAGCTTAAAGAAAAGAAATTGAGAGTAGAAGATGCTCTTAATGCAACTAAGGTAGTGCATCTCATAGGTTGTCATGATGGTCTTATGTTGCAATTGTTGTCCTTCAATACCATATGATACTACATATTTCATTGATTTTAGGCTGCAGTTGAGGAAGGTATTGTTGTTGGTGGTGGATGTACTTTGCTGAGACTTGCTTCTAAGGTGGATGTTATTAAGGATTCCCTTCATAATGATGAAGAAAAGGTAAGACTTGTCGTGACAACTTAAAGGAAGCTTAAACTATTTATGGGAGATTTCTGAATGTTATTGGAGTCGCATACTTGGTTGTTAACAAAGTTCCCTTACTAAATTATCTTGATTTACTATAGGTTGGAGCAGATATTGTTAAAAGAGCTTTAAGTTACCCTCTAAAATTGATTGCTAAGAATGCTGGTGTTAATGGAAGTGTGGTGAGCGAGAAGGTATGATTTATAATTGTTTTAAGTTACCATGAGCTTTACACTTCCAGTTTATACAGTTTGCTAACAAAATTGCTTTTTCCTTTATTTTAATTATTTGCAGGTGCTCGCCAATGATAACCCTAAGTATGGATTCAATGCTGCCACTGGAAAATACGAGGATCTTATGGCTGCAGGAATTATTGATCCAACCAAGGTTAGTTCCTTTATTGAGCTCTACATTTATTTTGTTGTATTTTACTCCCCATTTTAAATTGAATGTTCACTTTCCAAATAGCATAAAGTTTCAAAGAGGCTATATTTTCTCCTGATTTACAACTTTTACCAAGTGTATTAAAAGCGCTTGGGACTCACCTGAGGTTAGTACTTCAGGTAAATTGAAATTTTGGAAAGATGTTTTTTATTCTAAAAATGTTGACATTGTTTTGAAAGATCCTAAAATAATAAGATGGACATTCAATTTGAAATAAAGGGAGTTTCCTCTCCCAAAGCTGCATGTGGTAGGCAGCTGAAAATTTTGAGGGGATTGGCAGGGGCCATGGCCGCCCCTAACTTGTGAAACTTTTGTTGTAAAATGAAGTTTCCAACTTTAAGGTTAAATTAAGTTTTGTCCACTAGATGAACTTACGGTATGATCCTCCTTAATAAAAAAAATTGTGCAGCTTTTTCTTTTTTTTTTTTTTTAGTGTTACAATTATAGTGAAACTTGACATTAACTGAAAGCTTTTCAAGCCAACTCAAATTTAATTAATATAAACTAGTCACAGACTCTTAACAAAAGTAGTTTGATATTTGAAGTGACCCTAGCTCGAAAATGATTAATACCAAAAGTTACCCTAGCTCAAGATGATTCTAACAAAAACAATTCAAACCTAATATGGTTGAAAGTGATCATAAAATGCCACCTCTTGTTTATTTTCAATTTCTAGCTTCTTAAACTACGAATTTGCCTTTTGATTAATTAGATAAATACATTGGTTTAATTACTTTTTACCAATTATTATTAAATACAGTTTCTTGGTCGATAGAGGAAAGTACTTTGAACAAACTTCAGTTAGCATATTTTACTTGTAAAAACGGTTTGTTCAAATGAGTTTTTCTCTTCTGTTTTTCTCTATTCATCTTTGAGGGTTTTCTAAATGGATTCTTTGTATTCTAATTTTGGTTAATTGTTTCTTTATGATATTCAAAACAGTTGTTTTGTCTTGAGCCTCCAATATAAAATTTCTGGCTTTGCCCTATTGCTTGTATATTAAAGCAAGTTTCTTTAAGAATTATGTTCCCAACTTCAATTATAGTTATCACTTGTAAGCAGCAGGTGAAGTTATAGAAGAAAACTGAGAAATGTTTAAAATTTTCGTAATTTAGGTGGTGAGGTGTTGCTTGGAGCATGCAGCTTCAGTGGCTAAGACTTTCTTGATGTCCGATTGTGTGGTTGTCGAGATAAAGGAACCCGAGCCTGTGCCTGTTGGCAACCCCATGGATAATTCAGGTCTGCACTTGAGAATTTAACATGTTGACTAGAAATGCAACACTTTCTTGTTTTTCTTGTGTACATATGTTACATCTACTAACATGTTGGGTCGATGATTATTTCAGGATATGGCTACTAAAGCGGATGAAGAAAAGAAAGCGAATAAATTATCCAATTTCCATGGTAGTAACACTTAATCTGTTTGAGAGTAGAGTGCTTATTTTCTTTGTAAATCATATATGAAAATCGGTGGAACCCGTAGTATTCTGGCGGTATAGCTTGCTACTGGAGTAGAACCATTGTGATTTGCAGGGTTTTTTTTGTTGGCCAATGTGATTTGCAGTTCATTGCAACAATTTTGAACTGTTTTTAAGTGAAAGGGAGTTATGTTTACCCTTTGCTATTTTTGGTTTGTTAGCTTTTTAAAATTATCACACTTTAAACAAGTGCTTTCCGTCTCTGGTAAAATAAAAAAAAAAAAAAAAAAAAAAACCTAAAACATTACCTGTTGGCTTGAAAAACTAAACATTTCCTGGTTTGATTAAATAATATTTATTATATTTAACAAATAATGAATAAAGAGAGATATTGGTCATCATCACTATCACATATGACGGTTAGTTTGATTAAAGTTCAACCAAATGCTAAATCTAGTTTAACCGCTGCAAAAGAAAAATAAAAAAATCTTGCAACAAAATTGAGATTTTCTTTAAGGGGCGTGGTTCGATGAAATAATTTTCTTTTGCAGAATAATATATTTTGTAATTTAATTTTTGATCTGGTTATCGGCGCTGTATTTTTTTAAGATTTTTAACAGCGTCAACAAGTGAAAAATTAAGAGAATACAAATTTATTTGTTCTCTAAAACTTTTTGAGAATTTTGAAGGAAAAGTGAAAAATTTATTAATTTGTCTTTAATTATATTTTTAGATTATATAAATGATATTATTTACTTTAAAAACGTTGTAATTTTTATAAAATATTGTAAAAATAATTTTTTACTATATTTTAAATAAAAATAATGTTTTTCACATAATATTATTAAAATTCTCATAAAAAAAGTTATAATTTAAAAATATGATATTTGTTAAGAAGATAAAAAATTATTTTTTATAATTTAATAAAAATAATGTTTTTAATATAAAACTTGATTTTTATTAAAAATATAAAAAAATTATTTTTTAGAATTTAACAAAGACATAAGATAAAATTTAATTTTTGTTAAAAAGATAATGTTTTATAGGAAATTTTTGTTGAAAATATGAAAAAAAAATTTTAAAATTCAATAAATACTACATTTATAAGATAGAAAATACAATTTTTGTTGAAAAGATGAGCTTTTAAACTAAAAACACAATATTGTTGAAAAGATAAAAAAATTTTTTTTTTTCAGAATTTAGTAAAAATGATGTTTTTAAAATAAAAATATAGTTTTTGTTCAAAAGAAGATTTTATTTTGATAAAAATATAGTTTTTGTTGAAATATACAATGAATTTTTTTAAATTTAACAAAAATGACATTATTAAAATAAAAAACATAAATTTTGTTGAAAAAATGATGCTTATAAATTAAAAACATCTTTTTGTTAAAAGTATGAAAAAATAAAAAATAAAATATTTTTACTTAATATTATTATATATGAAATCAAAAATACATTTATTTAATATTATTATACAATGTTAATTTAGAAGGTTTCATCACCTATTTTAACCTTCACATTAACTTTATGCGAAAGTTAATTTACATATTTTTTTACGTAGAAACAATTAATGTTAGAACAATTTTTAAAATTATAAGATTATATTTATTAAAAATATAAAAAATTGTTTTTTTAAATTATTTAATTTTAACAAAAAGATGTTATTCATATGTTAATATTATAAATATTATATATTATTATATTATTAAAAATAATATAATAAAAAAATTTATTAAGTAATATTACATTTTTACGAATTAAATACAAAAATTTTATATTTAAAAAATAAAAAAAACTTAAAAATCATAATATACTTTTTTAATATCATTTTTTCTTAATTTTTTTTTAATTTAAAATTTTACGAACCAATCATCATCTAATATAACCTTCCTCTTTCTTTCTTTCTTTCCTCGTTAACTAAAATTGACTCATTATTCTGTGTCTGATATACATACATACATATATTATTATATTATACTCCTTTTAGAGTAAAATAAAATAAATAAAGACATTGTTTTGGGCAGGGAAAGGCTTTCTTAATTTGCTTTGCTTATACCATTCCGTGAATCTTACCTTATTTCATTATTTTTTTTTATTTTAGGGGAAGAAAATTTTGGATTTTGCTTGTTAAAATATTTTTTTAATTGATCGAAGTGGATTTATTTACATAGAGCCTAGTAAATTCATAAAAAAATTATATTTTTACAACCTCTTAACAAATTCGAATCCAAATAAAAAAAAAAAAAAACTCTTTTTATCACTTAAATCAATACTCTTTTTACCCCTTGAACCTATTGGTATCTTATTTCATTATTGAGTTTGAGAGATTAAGTTCAAAACATGCTCCAACCCTGCATATGTATAATATAACTGCTACTTTCTTCCTTTGTTCCTCGGTTGATTGATTTTCCTTAATGAGCTTTCATGGCATGTTTCTTTTGGTACAATTTCATGACATTGATTATGCATGCTTTTCAATCAAGTCCTGCTCATTTGTTCTGGAACCTTTTTTTTTTTTTTTTTTTCAATCAACACAGTCATAATAGGAGGTTAGAACTTAGAAATATGAATTTACAAGCTAACATGAAGTTATAACCCAGGGTAACTGTGTCCAAAAATCAAAATATTCTCTTGGACAAACTCAAAAATCCAATAGAAAAAACAACTGAATTTTGTGCTTTCTTCTTCTTGACAGAGAAATTAAGCATATGAAGAATCAATTAAAGGTTCATATGAACATGATCAGGACATATTTCATGAGGATTTTCAACCACTTTAAACTTGTAAGGATACTTCCCCTTCTTCTCCAACTTGCGTACTTTAACCAGCTGCCTCAAACATGTACCATTTGATTTTGATATAATTAGTGGACTATCTCGGAATAGAGGCACCAATCGCCTTGCCAAGAAAATCTCCTTTTTCTCATCCGAATATCCTTCCAATTTGACAACCTTGAGATCATTGAGTTTGTCAGGACCACTGACTATACCTGAGAATTTTTCAGTGCATGGCAAGTCATAGCATTTATGATCAATCTGCAAATTTGATAAACAAGTATTACTATGATATTTGAAGAGTAAATCTGTGCTTTAATCGATGCATTGATCATCGAAGTCATTAAGTTTTTCATCAAACAAAAGTGAAATTCGTTGTACCATTCCACTACTAGCAATTTGTCACGCCAGTAGTCTACCTATTATCATAAAAATGCAGACTTACAGTCACATAGAGTCTTTCCAAGTTAGGGCAGAGATTCAGAAAGCAAATTAGGGCATTGATATTTTCTCTCTCCATTGAGCAATCAATCCACCAAAGGTCTTTCAGCTGTTTGAAACAAATCTCAATGTCTCCACTTGAAGAGGGTAAGTTCTTGCAGATTGATTTCTAAAGAAAAAGGAAAACAAAACTGATCAAAGATTGACTTATGAGAGGTTAGTAATACAGAAAACGCTGAAAATTAATGAAAATTACTGAAACATACCTCAAAAAACCATCTGCATAGTGTTAGAGATTGAACACCATTTATGCTTTTAACAATTGAATTGAAGCATTTAAACTTGTTGGCACAGCCACAATAACTGCTTGTGTCCATCATCAGTCCAAGATAAAAAGGGCTATAAACGTGAGGCTTTTCAACCTCCCATGTCCATTGTGTTAGAGGACCTTGTCTGAAATCAAGCATTGCATCTCCCTTGTGGAATGCACAGTCAGACAGAAACGGAAGCCGTAAGTCAGAACAATAACATTTGCAGGATAGTTTAAACCGAAAAGACACTAACCTGCCTCGATACCGGAAAGAATTTAAACATGAACCTCCAAAGCAGAAGTATTCTAATTGTTGGCAATCCAAGACAACTAATTTTTGAAGCCTAGCAGCATCTTCTATGTCTAAAGATTGTACTCCATTACATTTTGCAATGGTCAAACTCTCAAGAAATGGGAGATTCGACACCAGAGAAGTAAGTGCCCTACTAGAAAACCGACTTACTGATATTAGATACAGGGTTTTTATTTTGAACTGCTGATCAGGAGACAATGGGGGGTTTATCTTTTCATCGCGCATATAGGGAAATGGCCACTTGTGACGCGATGGAAGATTCAATGGCAACAACCAATCAAAAAGCATTGGAAATTCTTGTTCCCCCAGGGAGAAATCAAGATGAAGTGTATTATTAGTTGCAATGGCAGCAAAAAGAACTCTACCATGGCCAAAGTTAAATTGGAAGCCCCATTGATTTGTTGGTCGATGGAGCTCATCAAGGTAACTCAATATAATTGCAACAGCATCTTCGATGGTTCTGTTCAGCACCAAAGCCTTTTTCCAAAGGTCTTTCCATCGAGTAGAAAGAAAAGTTGTTTGGATAGCAGATTCAAAAGGGAGGAAAGTGATAATGCGGAAAAGGATCTCATCAGGCAAACAACTGATAAAATCTTTAGGATCCATATTCCTGTTAACAAAAAAAAAAAAAATGGTCAGATCATGTCAATACACAAAATTAAGTAACATTCAAGAGAAAATACAAACAGTTGTTCCTTTGCAGTGCTTTTTTGGTTGTCATCTCGATTCTTCTTCTTGATCAATCGATTCTTCCTCTTGATCTTGCTTTTCTTTCCCGTCTTTTCTTCAACTTAACCAGGGTTGAAAAATTAGAAGTATTGCCAAAGTATATATATATATATATATATAGATGAGGTTTGACTTTGAACTTTCATGGAAACAACTGAACAAATAAACCTCAAAACAATTTCTCTCATATTTTAATATGCAAACAAAAAGAATTTGATGTTCTGTATTTACAATAATGGCCGAACAATTTTAATTAATTTCATCTGCTACAATAGTGATGGAGCGCTGACCATTGTTTTAAAAAATATTCTTCCATAACAAGAAATAAAGATAGACGTACCAGCAAATTATCATATTGTAAGCATCCATAACTAGCTTTGTCTTTCTTTTATGCAGGAAAATCCATAGTCAAGCTTTAACTTAACTGATTCATTCAGTTACTTTTAACTGGTGATATCAAATAATTTTGAGATTCAAATCTATTTGTGTAGGGTTTTTTTTTCCATGTTTTTAACTCAAAGAAGATTATAGTGTGGAGATAGAAAAAATGTGAATCAGAATATTTATTATTATTTTAAAATCATCATATTAATTTAATCACCAAAGTGATCTTAGCACTCATTATTTAGAATCATTTTGTTTGATTAACAATTATTAGTTTTTGAAAATTAAATACACCCCATTTTAATGGAAAATTCTATTTACACCCTTAATTTTACTCTATACACCCACTACTATAAAAATCCAAATTCAAACTTAAATATGTTATTTCTACCATATACACCTTACAATCCATTTTTCTATTTTCCTTTTCTATCCTTTCATTATTTCATTCTCTTTTTGTCTTTCTTCATTTTCAATCCAAAAAAAGCCTAAATCCATTAAACTAACCCAAATCAGCTTTGTTTTTTAGTTTTTCACCAATTAAAGGTAAGACTTCAAGCTTTTGTTTCAATTAATTTGGTTGAAATTTGGTTGAAATTCATGTAAAAATAAAGTAGGGTTTATGGTATAATTTAGGTTGAAGTTGAAGTTATCAAAAATGCATTTCTAAGAAGACTTGAGGCCTCTCAAAAATTCATTTTTGAGAGGCCTCAAGTCTTCTTGAAAATAAATTTCCAAGAAAACTTGAGGCCTTTCAAAAATCCATTTTCGAGAAGGCATAGGTTTTCTTAGACATCCATTTCTGATAAGATTTAAAGCCTTTTGGAAATGGATTTATGAGAATACTTAAAGCCTTTCGGAAATGGATTTCCAAGAAGCTTAAATATCTATTTTTTATCATATAAAATTTATTCAATTTTTGCATGAATTAATATATTTTGTAAATTTATCTTTGAGTTGTCAATTTTAATAAGTTGTGTTTTGATACATATATGACTTGTACCTTAGACAAAGGTATCGAAGTTGATGCTAGTTCGAGTCAGAGGCATCCGACTGCCTCTGAAAGGAGATGGCAAGTAGAGGATGATGAGTTAGAGGACCATATGGTTGATGACATTCCTTAGGTTGAGCCTTCAACTTCTACCACATGTGAGTATCATGTGGAGTCCTTTCCAAGAGGTCTGATTTATACCTCCATTATATCAAGTTTCGTTTCTCATGTTACATTCCAAATTTGGAATGGTCAGGTAATCACTCAAATTATATAATATGAATCATGTTAGTTTATGTATTTAAAGTGCCCTAGATGATTGTTGTTATTGTTGATGATATTGTGTATGATGTTGATATTGGTGATGTTGTATTAATATTTTTATTGTTGTTATTGTTACAAGAGCGAGGTCCATTGAAGTTGGTTAACCATAAGCTAAAGTTATAACAATGGCATCTAGATGATGCACGCAGTAGGATCTAAGTTGATGTGGTCCAATCAAGGTTGTTCTCACTCATCAAATGCACCTCTCCTACCATTAATGCAACAATAATCTTTGCTTTCATCGAGAGGTGGTAACTGAAAATGAACACATATGGTTGGCAAACTAAGCAACTTTGTTTTATCCTTAAATTGTTGTGTGCGGGTAACAACAAATGCTAGCTTTGTTGAAGAAAAAAAAAGAACTTGGATAAGATGATGCGCCCCAAATGTGGAAGTATAATTGTAAAGTTTGGGTTTTTGACAAGAAAAGTGAGTAAAAACAAAGAAAAAGAAGGATAAACCAAGTTTAATTAGCTAATAAGTTTGCATGCCACAACCAATTAAACAAAGGTGATTCGCCACACCCCTAAAAAGAAAAAAGGAAGAATGATAAGAATATGAGGTTATTTGTCACAAAATAGGAATTGCTTTAATAAGAATAAAAAAAGAATGCAAGAATGTGATTATGATATTTTCATTCAATGTCTCAATGATGTATTTGACTATACTATTTTGGCATTTATATAATAATTCCTAAGTCTAAGAAATATTATCGAAAAAAAAAATCTAAAATACTTCTAAGATATTCTCTAAGATTTGGTAGGATAAAATCTGTCCAAAAATATCTAAGATTACATAATTAAATAAAAATAAATAAAGTCAAATATAATTTGCCCAAATATTCTAGAATAACAGCACATACTAAAATCTTGTTCAAACCCATTCACAAATGATCAAGGTCACCATCCTAGGTTCTTTACCATGCACTAACTCCATATGAGCAAAAATTTATCCAAGTAGAACATTGAGAGCCCCACCATCTTGAGCTAAGCCAACTTTCACTAGATCACCATGATGGATCCCATCACCTTTCCCTGACTGAATGTGATTTGTCTTTAAGTCCCTTACATTGAAAATAGCAGAAACAATATACTTACCAGGCAAATCAATCTTATAGGCATTATCATTCACCTTGGCAATCATTTTGAAAGGACCATCAATTTTTGGCATAAGTTTGGACTTCTTCTTACTTGGAACCTTTCCTTACACAAATGGATCCAAACTAAGTTATTAGGCCTGAATTGGATTTGTTTTCTTTCTTTATTGGTAGTTTTCTTATAAGTAGCATTTTTTTCTCAATTTGCTACCTAACACTTTTATGCATCTTTTTCACTATCTCAGTATTTTTCTTACCATCCATGCATATCCTTTCATCAATAGGTAGTGGTGGTAAGTCAAAAGGTGTAATTGGATTAAATCTATAAATCACCTTAAATAGTGAATGCTTAGTAGCACTATGCACACTACTATTAGAAGCAAACTCCATAAAAGCTAAGCATTAATCCCAATTCTTCAAAGTTTTGAAAACAACTGCTCTAAGTAAAGAAAATAGAGTTCGATTGACTACCTCTATTTACCATCAGTTTGTGGATGACAAGCAGTACTAAAGAGTAATCTTGTACTAAGCTTTCTATATAATGTCTTCCAAAAGTAAAGAAAAAAATTGGCACCATGGTCTGAAATAATAGATTTAGGAACTTCATGTAATCTTACAATCTTTTTGAAGAACAAATCTGTGATATGACTAGTATCATCAGTTTTATAGCATGGAAAAAAGTGTGACATCTTTGAGAATCTATCAAAAACCACCATCATCAAAATTTTGCCTTTTCGTGTCCTTAGCAAACCAAGTACAAAATCCATGCTAATATCCACCCATGGCTGGTCTAGAATTGGTAATGGCATGTACAACCCATGCACACCTTTTTTGCTCTTAGCATTTTTACAAGTCACACATCTAGAAATAATGTGCTATACATCAAGCTTCATACCTGGCCAATAAAGGTACTCTTTGAGCATCTTCATAGACTTTTTTTTCTCCAAAATGTTCAACTAATCCATCACCATGTGCTTCCTTCAACAATAATTCTTTAATTGATCCACAAGGAATACATAACCTCGCAAACTTGAAAAGATATTATCATGGCAATAATAACCATTAATAGCACCTTTCTCACAAGTCAAGTAAATAAAAGAGAAGTATGGATCATCTATATACTAACTTTTAATCAATTCATACTTCACTAACTTAACATTTAGCAATACCTCCTTAATAGCGCATCTACTACAATGTTAGAGTTTCCTTTTTAAGTTTGATAATATAAGGAAAAAAATTCTAAAACCTTCAAAAACTCCACCCATTTGGCATGGCTCCAACTACTTGTTTTGACCTTTCAAATGCTTCATGATTAATATAAATCACAAACTCCTTTAGCAATAAATAATGCTACCAAGTCTCTAAGGCCCAAATCAAAGCATAGAACTCCTTATCATAGATAGAATAATTCAAGCTAGCCCTATTAAGCTTTTAACTAAAGTAAGCAATTAGCCTCTTTCATCAACACAGTTCTAATTCATACCCTTGAGGCATCATATTCAATCTCAAATGTCTTAGAAAAATCAAAAAGAGCTAATATAAGAGAAATAGTACATAATTTTTCCTTGATAAGCTTAAAACTCCTTTATGTTTTTTATCCTATTTAAATACAGCTCTCTTCTTTATTAACTCAGTCAATGGAGTTAAGATAGTCTTAAAGTTCTTCATTAATCTCTTATAGAATGAAGCAAAACCATGAAAACTTCTCACCTCTAAAATATTGGTTGGAATTGGCCATTCTTGGATTGCTTTAACTTTTTTTTCATCAACTTCAACCCTATTTTCTAGAATCACATAACCTAAAAAGATAACTAGGTCTTGGCAAAAGTGGCACTTCTTTAAGTTTCCATATAGCCTCTTTTGTTGCAAGACTTCAAATACCTTCTTGAGAGGCTGCATATGCTCTTTCAAGCTCCTTTCATACATTAAAATATTGTCCAAATACACCACAACAAACTTACCAATAAACTTATGTAAGATAAGGTTCTTTAGCTTCATGAATGTGCTTGGTGTATTTGATAAACCAAATGGCATCAACATCTACTCATACAACCCATGCTTAGTTTTAAAAGCTGTATTTAGTTCATTTCATTTCTTCATTAGAATTTGATGATAACCGCTCTTCAAATCCACCTTGGAAAATAGCCTTGACCCATGTAGCTTATCAAGCATGTCACCTAGCCTTGGAATTAGATAATGGTACTTAATAGTGATCTTATTGAAGGAATGGCTATCACACACATTCGTATAGTCCCATCCTT